AGGATCCTTGTTGTGAAATTACGCTCAATTGTATCTCTCGCACTTTTAATTCAAAATGCTCAAAACTCCAACTGACCTACATTTTGAACCTTTCGCTGTTTTTCATTTTAAATTGTTCCTTTTATTGCTATTTTCTCTCATTTTTCATATATGTTTACGGTTAACATTTCTTTGTTTTTTCATTGAAGGCTGAAGACCGACAGCCGAAAGCCTGAAGTTATTTTAATTTTTCTTTAGCCGGAGAACGTTTTTAATTGTTAATATGTTTTAAAAGGCTAGCTATAAACACCTGTTTAGGTTTCGCTGTACTGACGTAAGAAGTAATAGTAGAAGACGCAGTACGTCCCAAAGAGAATTCATTTGACTGATTTTTCGGTTTCAATCACGTATCGTTTTCGAAAGCGGATAAAGTTTTAAAAACTCCTATTCGACAAAAACGTTCAGTGAAAGTGGTTTATTTCTAGTTTTGGTTTGTGGTTTCGGCAATTTTACTTGCGCGCGCTCCCAGGGTCGCCCAGGGCCTAAGTAGGGCAGATCATTTAAAAGAGATTCTTGCCAACAGTCGGCTGCCACTACCAAATAGGCCCTACAGTATATTTGAATTGCTATCACGACTTTATCAGACGAATAAGTTAGTATTATATTCTCATTATCATCCTCAAGTTCATTCAATAACCGATCAATACACTCGAATAAACCTCCAAGAGAAAACCGTGTTAGGCAGACAACACGAATCAATCACTCCGAAGGAAAACTAGTTCAGTATAATCGGAATCAGTGGAGCGAAGAACCAGGATCTTCCAAAACAGGAAAAACCAGTTACGTGTTAAAATTATACTCCAACGCGTTTAGCTTTAGGATACTCGCAATCTGATTTACTTTAATTGGCTACACAGGCTAGATCAGGCTCAGTTGGAGCACTCGTGCTCAGTTGTTCATGCATTACAGCCGAAAAGTTAGTTAGCCTGCGTAGCTGGCGGTCTTGTTAGCGCGCGAAGTAAAAATTCGTAAGCGGCGAAGCCACGAAAGCGAGCGGCGTAGCCGCGTGAGTCTGGGGCGGGAGGTCTGAAAGACCAGCTACGCAGGCTACCAAAAAGTATACAAAAAACCGTCAATTAACCAGTTTTATCTTTCTAAACAAAACCACTCAATTTATTAATTGAGACACAATAATATCTTAAGACTTGTGACCAGAAAGCAATTTTATTTACCTATTGTTAATTCAGGTTTGCGCGTTCTGAATTATCAAGAACTTCGCTCTATTTAGGACATGTTTGCTGACTCGCAGTGGCGGGGTTTGCCTTTGAGACTGACAGTCATTCAGTGAAAGCTCAAAGATGCCTTGGTGCATCTTTGTTTCATGACTTTCATCAAACATGCAGTATTTTTTTATTGCAATATCAAGTCGTATAAGCCGAACACCAAAACATTAACACTTGATGTAACAAAATGACTAATCAGGTCCACACGAACTCAAGCTATGGCTTTCGAAAGTGAAAAAGAAGAAGCGACAGACCGACAAAAAGTAAGTATGAAAGTGAAGCAAGAATATTAATAGTTTCACACAGGAAATGATTTAGGATTGGTGAAAAATTTGGTATTTACACCTGGCGCCTGCAGCGGAATAGCGACTGCCATTTATAAGGTTTTTGAATTTTGCCGGGAGAGCGTTAAATTTGAAATAAGTTCTTATTTGGGATTGTATGAGTAAAATGTACTTTACTACAACACGTATCTGATCTATTTTGTTCATCAAGTACAATACACTTACTGTAAATAATGGGCAGTACTATTCTGAACAGTAGCAAACAGTTTTAAACCCTGAATTAATAAGAACCTAATTAAGAACCTAAACAGCCTATTTCCCACAAGACACCCGATATATAAGAACCTATTCAGGCTGACTTGTAAAAATGTAGGTTCTTATACGCGGGTGTTAACTGTAATTGGAACGACCATGGCCGTGCATAATCTTCTGTTTTGCGCTCACACACTATACGTTTCTATTGGCAAGTTGCCTTATAAAGGTCGTCATATGTCTTGAAATGTTATGTAGTCTGCTTCTATTCAAAATAAGAAGCATAGTAAATGGTTTGAACCCGTACCCCCTCCATATGAAAGTGACGGGGGTGATCGTCGAAATTTTGAAAAGAACCCCTAAAAGGTACCAAAATCTCGTTTTGTGTGTGTGGCTCGAATTCATTTTCACCCCTAATATAAGAGGTACCAATTCTAAGACAAACTAGGCCCTGTTATATATTTTTTCCAGCATAATACCCTAAAACGTGCCGGAATAACTCCAACGGCAGTCATTTTAGATTTTAACACCCTAAGCGGTACCAAAGCACGAATTTTAACCCCTAAAAGGTACTGCGATCATTGATTTGACCAGTCACTTGTCAACACTACTCTCACACTTCATGAACTAAACAGGAAATAAGAAGCAACACTCTATAATAAAAAATACTTTTATTAAGCAAAAACGAAAGCAGTATCCTACCTAAGAACTACATGCGCATTCAGGTTGATTCTAGAGGTGTTATCAGAGTGGAAGGTCTGAGACAAGGAATCTGCACAAGGTACACTCTAATCAGACTTTCGTTCTCCGCCATTTTGAAATTGTCATGTAGAATACGACTACCATGATGTACTGCAGGCGCTAATTCGTCCCCAGTCATCTCTCAGTCTCCTATTAATATTAACGAGAGACTGAAGCGCGGCCGAGGGGAGCGCGAGGGGTAGGAGACTGAGAGACGGCTGGGACGAGTCAGCTGCAGGCGCATTAAACAAAAGGCTGGGGAAGATGAGGCAAGCACCAGGCCCGAAAGGCCGAAAGGTTTTCGACCCATCTTAACTTGCCCCTGAAATGCATGTGTCCATATTTGTAGCCTGAAATGAACAACGTTTTATGTACACATTGCGTAATATTTTCTTTCTGTAAATAGCTGATTATCCCGATTCGAAAAGATTAACACGAAACTCCCAGAGGAAGATCTTCGTTTTGCATTTACCTAAGACGATCTAATCGTCTGTAAAACAGGGCTATACGCACATGAAGGACATTGTGGCCCCAGCTGTACATGAAGTAGGCATCTACAATGCAAAAATCGACCAGTGGTAAACTTATTTGCTCTAACGACAACCGGCCACATAAATACATGTCAATGTAGTAGCAAAATGTATTTTTTAAAAAGGTCATAGCTTCAGATATAACCTGCACGTTATATTTCCAAACAAACGCTGTTCGTGCAAGATCGCCTCTGTATGTCCCAACATCTACAGATGACTCAGTATGCCAACGCTGGCACGCAGTGATTGAGGTAACTCGACGAAACACATCTTCTTTCCAGAAAGCTTCACTGTGATTTGACATAGTTTTTAGACACCAGTTGACTGCCTCAGGAGATTGGGATCGGAGTAGGTCCTCTGTGACATCACGGGGCTCCTTTCAAGAGAGCGCGCCCTCTGTGACATCACGGGGCTCCTTTCAAGGGAGTGCGCCTTCTGTGACATCATCGGGCTCCTTTCAAACGAACCGGATTCCACTGATAAAGGAGTGCTTATCAATAATCTACAATCGAAAACACCAAATTCATTTACTGTCAAGTTTGCAAAAGAGATCTTCGCACTTACGTTGCAATGAATTCGTGTCCTATCAGATTATTTTTAGTCATGCTGAGTTAAACTCATTTCCAGGAAAAGTTATGTAGATAAAGAAGCGGATTTTTTACATTTCTCGACTATTCTAAAAAAAAAACGGAGGTTTTTTTTTTTTTTCTCTTCCCAGAACAAAAGGATTATTGAGAAATTGGCAAAAGAAACAGAGCTAACTTAGGTTTAGTACAAAATAATTTTTACATCGTCAGGTAAATCGTAGTTACGATTTCATACAAAACAAACGTAACTAATGACAAGAAAGTTTATTTTTATTTATCACAACTCATCATTGCACAGCAATGGAAATATTCTCTCACAATATTTTTAATGTTTGAGAAAAAAACAACGGGGCAAAACGCTATAAAATATGTTTAAAATATGTAACCCTGCTAAGGTTAATATGTTCACTATGGCTGTCAATAGTCTCACTTTTGAGTCTGTGAATGAAACCCTAGTTTGTGACCATTCAAATGAAAGCTATTGAGCAGTGCTTTCATGTGGTACTGTTTATTATACACTACTAGGCGATTCTAACGTTTAGGTGTGTAGTACTTTCATCTGTTAAAATCCGACAACCGAAACGCCAAATGTTTTATTTTCTTCTATTTTACAAAAGGTATAAATTATATTCAGTAAAAAACGTTATAAAAGTGTTTAATAATTACGTTATTTACAGAATGTTACTTTAGTTACGTTATTATTAATGTTATATTTCTTAGTTGAGTTTATTGGTTATATAGTGTAGGTAAACATTCGTCTTCCATGTCTAGTCTCTAGGCTTGAGCCCAATATTCTGCGAAAACTGCTTTGAAGAACAGTGGTGTGAAATACTTGCGCTTCAGATTGGCGACGATATATCATCACACCTCCAGAGCTGAGAATTAGAACAACACTATATTTAGTTTCGTTTATTTGTTAGTTTGATTAAGGTTAAGGTGTGTCTACAAGCCTGTGGCTTATCAGGCTAGCGCTTAGCTCTGGTCTCCATAGCACTGAAGCTACTCCTCTGGGCCCGGTTGTTCGAAAGCCGATTAAGGTCGATTAATGCTAATCCAGGATTAAAAGTTAATCAAGCTTTTAATTTCTCTTGTACAAAAGTGTTTTTCTCTGCCAATGTTTTGTAAAGTTTAAGATTAGTCAAAGTCAAAACAGAAAGGCAAAAATATAAACAGAAACCTCACTGAAAAGTTGCAAAACTGAAATCAAAATTCGCGCTAATCCTGGATTAGCTTAATCGTCCTTTGAACAACCCGGCCCTGGATGGAATGCTAGTCCATCGCAGGTTTTGACAGGTTTCCCTGACAATTCGCTGGTACCCATTGGAGCTGGAGAGAGAGGCACTGTGCGAGAGTCTTAGCGCTCGAACCCAGACCGCTCGATCCGCAGTCCAACGTGCTAACCATTAGGGCACCACCCCTCCACGTTTGTTTGCTGTTTGTTTATTTATTTTGTTTGTTTGTTGTTTGTTTATTTTATTTATTTGTTTGTTGTTTATTTATTTGTTTGTTTATTGATTTATTGATTTATTGATTTATTGATTTATTTAATTATTAATTTACTTATTAATTCAGTATTTATTGTTTTATTCATTTATTATCTTCACTACTCGTGTGCTCATCTCGAATATGCAAAAGTGGAGGTAAAATTATTTATTTTTGAGATAAAAGTAAATGATTTTACAACGGTTACTTGTTACTGTCTGATCGCATTTATGCTAATATTTATTTATGATTTTATTTAGTTTTTATTTAGTTTTTTATGTACTTTTTTATTCAATTTATATTTTTTGGCCACACCCTGCTCTAATAAACATGACCCCTAGGATCCCCGGACTTGGAAATCTATCTACCCTAAATGTAACTGTTGTTATAACTCTACATTGTTTTGAAGATCTTCAAGCTTTTGAGCCCGCAGTAATTTCCTGACGCGGTTGCGGTCACCGTGCATCAGCATACTGTTCATAACCGTATTACGTAGCGAAGCTGACTAAATAAAATACAATAAATCCGCAAGTGTAACACAAATTAGTTTGCAGACGTTCATGGAAGTCACGCAATGTCAATCCCCAAAGTCATTGGGATGAACAATCGTTGCGTGACAGCGCCAAGGAGACGTAACGTAACGCTAATATATGCGTGACGTGTAAGTTATGATACTTACCCCGCGCTTGTGCTGCTTTGTGGGAAGCTTGGCACCAGGCCTCGCTCCTTCTTGTGTTTCTTCTTCATTAGGAATTTCCCAAAAGATGACTGAGTAGAAATAAAATTCGACAATCGGTTATAAAGAAAAAATCCAAACCAGGCATTGAAGGGGAATGAGAAAGGGACTGACAGCCACTAGGATAGCCGATAGCCTGTAGGACAGGCGGTTTAGGGGGCGTTTCTAATATAACATAGCGCGAAACTAAACGCCTGTTCTGCATCAATAAATATTGCGAATTGGTCTAAACACGTCACGTGACGCAGCCAAAACTGGGGAATATTCGATGACATTCCCCAGTTTTCATAATTTGCGTTTTACGTTCGCCCGCTCAGGTTTTGTCCCAAACAAATTGTTAAATTAAATAGAACCGAACGTGTTAAACAATTGACGATTTTTGAACGCCAACAGAATTATTTTGACGTTTGACAACTTGGCCAAGATTTCCACAAACAAAGAGACCTTGTGTGAAAATATTTGAAGGATAATAAATTTGGCTTCAAAAATATGTGTCAGCGGACATTATCTGTTCTCGAAGCTCAAAGTTCGCTTCTCGGAACAGACAATGTCCGCGCACAAATATCCGTGCATATTTTCGCGCCAAAATCGAAGCTATTGTTTATGTATCACGCGTTTTCTTAAGGCGCGCGTGTTGATCGCGCGCGAGAATCAAATACGCTACAAGCCCTCGTGTTGCAGATAACGAACAAAGCAAACGCTCAAGCCAAAACTGATGATAACCGAGTTGTAGCACACTAGTGCGAAATCAGATGAATTAAAATCCGGAGATCAAGATAAGGAATCTGCCAAATTGAGGGAAGGCACCACTCTTATTGTTAAAAAGATCTCAAAAATTCATGATTTTATATCACTTTGTAGTAAACCGGCAATGAAATTGAACCAGCAACTGATCTCTTGTTGTATATAATTTTAGGTAGGTGTCCCCTATTAGTAGAGGGCTTTCCCTCAGCTAAAACACTTCGACACATTAATAAAGTTTTTGATTGATTTTTGATTGATTGTTCATAATCGATCAAAACGACTGCATTTTATAACTAAGGTTGTCATTCCGGCAGGCAGTAGAGATCAGTAGACAGTAGGCATGCAAGAAGATGTTTACACAGACCTTATTGTGGTTGTACCTTTTGAGTCTGTGGATGAAACCCTAGTGTGTGACCATTCAAATGAAAGCTATCGAGCAGCACTTTCATGTGGTACTGTTTATTATGCTGTACTAAGGTGGTGCTAATTTTTAAGTATGTGGATGAAACCCTAGTATGTGACTATTCAACTGAAAGCTATTGAGCAGTACTTTCATGTGGTACTATTTATTATGCTGTACAAGGTGGTTCTAACGTTTGAGTCTATGGATGAAACCCTAGTGTGTGACCATTCAAATGAAAGCTATTGAGCAGTACTTTCATGTGATGCTGTTTGTTTTTGACAATTTTGCGAAATGAAATTCAATATTTTTTCGTCAGTCTTTATCTCCCCTTGTTGTTTTCCGGGTAAATATACAAACTTGTAAAACCTTTTTATGAATCCTGCACTACCGACAGACCCCTAAAATATTTAAATTTACAATTGAATCAAGCATAAATATCTAAACAATTTAGGAAAGCGAACAGATACTGACCGTATCTCAATCAAAACAACATCAGACAAAACTAAAATATTTACATGAGGAAGTTTATCTTGTAAACTCTAGTTAGTTGTCCTTAATGTGTGGTCGAGGTTTTCAAAATATTTAGTTTACCCAACTTAATTAATTAATCTTGGCTGCGGACACAAATGTGTCGAACTCTAATTCAACTTTAATAGCTTCGGTCCAATATAATTTGCTTTCAAAACACGAATACGCATATTTGAAAACAACGGGTATCAAGTTACTCTATCTCATATTTTCAAAACCAAAATTCTAACTAATTTCATTTTTCAAAACATCCGCAGAAATCGGCGTCCAAAATGCCGATAAGAAAATAAATTTTTAATAAATCAATATCAGCAGCATTTCGAGATATTGCAGTAAAAATACCACACGATATCTAAATTAGGCACATTTCCGCAGGCGAAATCTCCATTAAATATCAGCCAGTCAATTATGTTATCTTAGTCTTTTGAATGAAAATTAAGCTCGGCATGTGTCTACAAATGTCTGACCTTTGGGCAAACTGCCCTTCAAAGTGAGTGAATATGATGAATGCATGCTTAATCGTGTAACCGCTTTCAGAGACAGCCGTTCATATATTAAGTATATTGGCCTAGAGCGGAAAGGAAGTCACTACTTAGTATGAAGTCTAGAAACTGCCAACGGCTTTTGGCCGCAAGCATCAAGAATTTCACTCGCTCAGTTCCATCTCAAAGAAAAGCCCCAGCATGTGCCGCCTCGGTGAGGCAAAATCGTCTAAGAAAGTATAGCTTTCTTTGGAAAACAACGCGAAATTTGGGAGGAAGTTTACAAAGTAAAAGTAGTGAATTGAAGAAGCGAGCAAGTTTGAACTACAGCGAACAAGTCTTTCATAAACGTTCGGTGGTTTTAGTCCTGTTTATGGTGAGTATGGTAGTTAAAAACCAACGGGTTAAACTGACGAGATATGTGAAAACCAATCAATTTTCCTTGACCATATGATTGCAAATACACATTTTGCAACTTCAATAATTTATTGTCGATGTTGCCACTATACGGCGTTCTAAAATCGATGTATCATTGGACATCAAATCGTTATATAAAGTAACTTTCTCTTGCCTTCAGTAAAACTTGGTTTAAAAAAAATGCAGAAACTCGTCGAGTTTAACATGACAACTCAAGAAAACCAACAAACTTATTGTTTACAAAAATTTAAAACATCCACGCGACAAACAGTGAGAAAACATTTAAGAAAATTATTTTTAAAAAGCTTCTAAAACTACAGAAGTGATGGTGTGCTGTTTGGGCGTTTTATGAACATGAAAAAATGGAAAACGCTTCAAAGATTGAGCTATTTTGGAACCTAATCTCGATACAACATCTTTAATTCATGCGTAGACAAGTAGGTAAATATTTCCGCGGGGTTATAAAGCAATAGGAAAAATTCTAGAACACTCTTCGGTAGTATTATACGTATCAAATATGTGACAACATAACAGCCGCATCTATTTCACTTCACACTATAGAAACCTGTAAACTGATTATTAAACGAGTAATGTGTTGAAAAAGAATTCGCTTCGAAAGCAACTTGCCATCAATCACACCTAATTAGCCTACGAGTAGGCTCCTTCGTGGGGGGTATAGCGATATTTCTCGTTTCGTCACCTATTGTTATTAATGTGCGAACCAGAGAACTATTGGCTGTTGAAACAAAGAGTTCTTTTGTTTAATGGTTGGCGAATTTGAATAACAAAACAAATTTGACGTAATGTTGATAAACAGTGAACACTCCTATTGATTTTGATATTAGTACAGCGGCGAAATAACCTTCTAAACACTACAGTCAGCTAAACAGAATCAAACTTCCACACATGCAGTGTTTACAGACAGTTTAATTATCAAAGCGTAAGCAATTGGCTTAAAATAGTAGATAAGCTAATACACCAGTTCATATGTTATTAAGGTCTATTATAAGAACGTTAATCTTACATAACCTAATAATCCAGCTAACAATATGATAACAATTCCAAGCTTGAACAAGACTGTAACGCGCTGCAACAATCGTTATGTATGAGAATGTGGCATGTATGCTGCATCTCGTGTAGTTAAGATTTTGTTACGAATATTGGTAAGAATCGCCAAATAATGGAACACGTTCTGGATGACTCGCCCCCAGTCAGTTGATTTCTCGACCTAAGCTCTCTCCTCTAAGAGCTAGAGTGAGTGTCGGATATGTTTTTGTTGTTGAAAGGCGGAAAGGGGGCATACGGAAAAGGACAAGGGAATGCCGGCTTAAAAGACGGGCCACAGTTCCGCTGTCCTCCATTCCGACTTTGCTTTAACCGCGTCAATGATTTAAACTGACTTTGTTTTCATTTTATACCCTTGTTCTCTTTCAGCGATCCGATTTCTCGGTTTGTTTTCCGCAACTTCCAGTCCTGTTCACCAACCCACCCACCCTCCCCCCCGTCATCTTTCCCTCCAGCCCCCGCCCTCCTTGCCCACCTATTCACAAGCAAGTACAGAAGATATCACTTCCCTGCAGAAAACGAGACGAAATAATTTCCACTTAGTTTGTAACTTGTACAATGACT